GGATGGATGGAGGATGGATGAACAGATGGATGGATGTACGGATGGATGGAGGATGGATGAACAGATGGATGGATGGATGGATGAATGATTAACAGATGGATGATGGATGGATGATGGATGGATGGATGGATGGATGAATAGAAGGATGTACGGATGGATGGAGGATGGATGAACAGATGGATGGATGGATGGATGGATGGATGGATGGATGGATGGATGGATGAATAGATGGATGGATGAACTCACCTGAGGACTTGCTCATCATCCAGGCACTAACTGAAAAAGATAAAATGCAAAGTCAGAACAAAGTAATTCATCAGCCTCTCAAGCTAACAGCTAACAGCTAAAAGCTAACAGATAACAGCTAAAAGCTAACAGCTAACAGTCCTGTTATGCTAATGTTTGTCAGGTTAGTTCAGGATGAACGAGTGGCTCATATCCAAAGTGAAAACGATGCCTGCAGGCGCAGTTTGCAGAGAAGAATTACCCAACATTTGTTAAAATGTCACTAAGTCATCCAGATCTGCAGCAAACTGTGAARAAGGTCAAACACTGTGAAGCAATAAAACACTGTGTAATTTAATTAAACTAAATTAAAGCTGCTTTAACTTCATGTTAACAAGCCCTCCTTTACACTTTCTGTACAGTAGAGCAGAAATGTGTCGACAGGAAAACGCGTCTCGTTAGTTGTAACAGATTAACAAGGTTTCTTTTTGATCCAGCTGTGCTTTAAATGTCATTCAGTGACATTTTAACAAACAACCCCCCCACCCCAAAACTGTGTAACTGTTGCCCTCAGCTCTGCGTGAGCTTCGTTAAAAATGTAACAACACAAAATATGAAAGAAATTAAGTAAGTAAGTAAGTAAACTTTATTTCTATAGCATCTCCACGGGTTTTATAATGGGTTCCAGGGACCACCAGCAGCATTTGATTAGAAGACCTCAAAGTCCTGGATGGACAGAGAGGCTTCAGAAGGTCCAGTATGTATTTGGGGGCCTGACCATGAAGTGCTCTGAAAGTTAAAACTAACATTTTAAAATGACTCCTSAAAGTCACAGGGAGCCAGTGCAGAGAGGCTAAACCAGGTGTAATGTGGGCTCTCTAACCTCGCTGCAGCGTTCTGCACAGACTGAAGCCGAGTCAACGAGGATTTGTTTAAACATGTAAAAAGACTGTTGCAGTAATCAAAACGAGAAGGAATAAAAGCGTGAACAACCATCACTAGTTCCTTCTGTGACACAAAACATCTCAGCTTTGAAATGTTCCTTAAATGATAAAAACAGTTACGAACTAAAATTTTACAATGACTGTCAAAAGACATAGAACCATCAAAGACGACAACCAGATTTCTGAGACTATTTTTCACTGAAGGGGTTAAAAAAACAAGGTGCTGCCTGATTACAGGGATTTTATCATCAGGGGCGATAATAAGAGTTTCAGTCTTGTTTGCATTTAACTGCAGGTAGTTGTTGTTCAGCCATGTTTTGACTTCTGACAGACAGTTACTGAGTTCAGATAGTTTGAAGAGCTCAGAGGGTCAAAAGGAACAGTACAACTGTATGTCATCAGCAAACAGATGGTAGGACACATTACTGTAACGTTTTAAAATACCTCCTAAAGGGTACAGGTACAATAAAAAGAGGATTGGACCCAAAACTGAACCTTGGGGTACCCCACAAGACAGCGGTGCAACATCAGAGTAAACCTGATTCATAAAAACAGTAAAAGACCGTTCAGATAAATAAGAAGTGAACCAGTTTAAAACAGAGCCAGAAATACCAAAATTATCTCTCAGTCTGTTGATAAGAACAGAGTGATCCACAGTGTCAAACACTGAAGTTAAGTCCAATAAAACCAGTACAGTGTAGTTTCCAGAGTCAGCTGCCATCAACAAGTCACTGGAAACCTTTAATAAAGCTGTTTCTGTGGAGTGAAATTTGCGAAATCCAGACTGAAAAATGTCCATAATGTCATTTTCCTCCAAACAGCAAATCAATTGTTCAGCTACCACCTTCTCCAGGATTTTTGATAAAAATGGTAGTTTGGAGATCGGTCTTAGCTTTCAGGCAGAGAAGAGTCCAAATGAGGCTTTTTTAACAGAGGACAGAACACAGCTGTTTGAAGCAGTCGGGTACAGAACCAGAACCAAGGGAGTATCAGTTTTACAACACTTGGGCCAATACAGTTAAAATATCTTTAAAAAGAGATGAGGGCAGGACATCAAGAGGGCTAGAGCATTGTTTCCCAAAGTTGGGGTCGGGACCCAAAGTGGGGTCCCAAAACTTCAAGGTGGGGTCCTGAAAAGATTTTCTGAATTAATTACATTTTTGCC